GGGTCATCTTAGTTGGATTGAGTGAGACTCCCTAAAACATGTTTCTGTACAATTTTTGTAACCCAGCTGACCCATGGTCCTACCTGACCACTTCAAGATATGTATTATGTGTGACTATAGAGTACCTTAACCTATGTTCAAAACATTTCCCAAATATCTAAAGTATGTACAATAGACTGTCCTACATGATCATTTCTACGCATGCAGGAACTGTTCCGATTGATTGTCTTACTCTTGTACAATTGATTAACTTTGCAGCAGGAACTGTCTGTGAATATCTGAGACAGCCAGATTCTTTGCCCAGGATGTTAATCGACATGCTTAAGCATACAAATTGGTCTAGCCACAGCAGGGTCTGCCTGGGGAATCTCAACAACTGTCTGAAATTCCCACCAGGACCACTCCTGTAACAAGCTGTCAAATACTTCTTGTGCCAGCAGTTCCATCAATCACCTAGCTTCAACTTGGGCTGCTGTCTCAAACCAGTCCTTTATCTCATCTGTGCAGACAACAAGCCTGGGAGTTCCTGGACCACTGAGGGAATTTGAGTGCACTAGGGTTGCACACAGGCACAGCCCCGAGAACCAACTATGCTACAATCATAATTAAAGAATTAAACTTTATTTTCCTGCTTAAGTCTCATAGCCCTTGCCCATTAGCTCAGCTGGCTAGAGCATGGTGCTAATGACACCAAGGTCGTGGGTTCAATCTCTCTACAGACCCTTCACTCAAGAGCTGGACTCAATGATCCTTGTGGGTCTCTTCTAACTCAGAGTATTTTGTGATGTCTGTCTAAATGATGTCAATATCTGACCTAGTGAACTGGCTTCAAAATTCAGATGAAAGTGGCTAAGAAGTAATTCACCTCATACTGCAGCAAATGCCCAGAGATAGGTGATCTTTATGCCATGCATTACTTGAGTTTGGTTGTGCCATATCAGACTACTGATTTTGACTGAGTGTGCAGATGTCAACATTTCTGATAGGAAATCACCTAATGCAGCACTAGTACTCAGATTTGTGGTCTGTTGTTTCGGGGAACAGTAAAAGCTGCAATATTGTCTATATGTATAGCAAAGAATGGAGCTTTCCATATTTCTCTTTCAGATCAAATGTTCATCTATTACAAAACCCTATTCACCAACCCTTCAAGTTCATAAATCAATTGCAGCACATGTGGGCTAAACTATTTAAAGAAGATGGCTTTTCTGCTCTATCAGTGATTAAAGGACTGTGTATCTGGGCCATTTACTCACAGCAGAGCAGGCAACTGCTCATTCTACATTCTGCCTTCTTCAGTTCACCTGATGTTGTCACCAGTGTGTCAAGCAACAGGTGGGAAAACAAACTCACCTCATCTGTATTCCACCCATCACATACAGTACTGCCTTATTGGCTGATCCTTCTGCTCTGGGACAGTGCAGATCACAATAGATTTAATGCCTGTATTTCCCTGGGAGTGAACTGACACAAGATTCCATGTTTAACAACGAAGTGCAGAAGCCAAGTGCCCAAGCTGCACACCTTCAATAGTTTGTTCTGGAGCTTCTTCATGTAAGACTGAACTGAAAAAAACCACAATACCCGGCAGCCACATACATGCAAATCACAGCTGTAATAGATGAATGTTTCACAAGTATTTTTTTTAACTTTTATTTAATGCTCAAAGACCATTTTCAGTTTCCAGTTATTTTGTGGGATGCATTGTTGTATTAGATACGTCTATGCATTAGGACCAAAGCTGACTAACACAACTTAAGTGATCATATAAAGTGAATTTACACTGCCAAGTAACTTTCCAGTTTGCAGTCGCAGCCATATGTGGCCACATAAATTCGGAAGAGTTTTGCATGGGCCATACTGAGTAGTGCAAGAATGAAGTATGTAGCTGTGGAATAGTTCAATTACTGGCACCATTATCAGCAGCCTACACTTCAAGGATGCTTATTGCTGATTACTGACTGCACGTAGCAGGTTTAGTTAATGGGAGAGAGTTCCAAATCCTAACAGCTAGTGAGTTGAGGGAGAGCTTTTAAGCACCCATCCGTGTTCCTTGAGGTTTTTGGCAAGGCAGTGAGGAGACAGGCCAAGTTATATTGGGGAAGGTTACAAGCATCTTAGTACAGCTGGCTGTTAAAATCTTCAAACTAACTGGTTTAAAGAAATACATCCAGCAAGCTGACATCTCAACTGCGTCTGACCCTGTTCCTGGAAATGCTGTTATTTTGGCTCAGCTTCACAGTTAAGTTTCCTCCTCTTCTATCCCATCCCTTATAACGTACCCCAAGCAAAGATATACCTTTCCTTGGCCATTCTTTCCTGTGCTCCATCTCTCTTCCAAGCAGGCTGCTGGTAGTTTGGCAGCATCTGCTTCTAGGGAGAGAATGAACCTAGGCTCTTTGTGGTGCAACAGGAATGTGAACAGCTGTGTCACCTTGCAAAAGGAAAAATAAGTCTTCTCTAAGTTTTAAAAGGAACATCTGACATGCTTAATTCACAGCAGATATGTTGGTTTGCTGGCCCTAGAAATTCTGATATAATCCATGATACCTTGTCTTCCCTTTCTTGCAGTGAAGTGTCCAGTTTTCCTCTAAAACCTGAGAGAAAACAACAGCCCCAGCCAAGACTAATTTTCTGTGCCTTTCTTCAGGACACTGGTATCTCTAAGCTATACAGCATCTATTTTAAGAGCTGCAGGATATGTTAAGAAACACTGCCAAATATCAAATACTTTAGTCTCCAAATTCTGCCTTTTAAAAAATTAATATGCTACTGGAAACTGTTGCCTGAATTCTAAATAGCTACTTGAAAACAAAAAAGCATCCATATTATTTATGGAGGATCTAATATTATGTGCTCTCTTCCACTGTTTGAGCAGGAACAGGAGGAGAAGCAGGACTTTTCCTAGCACTTAAGGGCTTAATCTAACATGCCAGCTCCTGCTGCATTAGAAGGAAGAGGCTGGAAGCTCATACATATCCAATGGGAAAAAAACAAACATGAAATGAAATGTTTTCTGCAGCAGCTAAAATGTGTTCCAAAACAATTGAACATCAGTGAATGAAAGCGAAGTAGAAAGTTCTCATGCCATTACTCAGTTTAAACCCTTTTAAAAGTCAGAAATTGGCATTGATTGCAGGCTTAAAAAAGAACTATGGAGGGTCATTTAAACTGAAACATAACATATACTGTAACAGTGAATCCATAGATCACTTCAGAGAAAGACAGGCTTTCTAGTAAACATCCAGCATCAGCTCTATGTTTTCTTAACACCAGGCAGCAAAATACAGCTCCCAAGAGTGCAGGTGAAATACATGAACCTAAACCAATCATTAAATCCTCTCTAGGGGCTACATAAGAAACAAATGAGATGAGCTTCTACAGCTGTCTGTAAACAGCTCCTCTGTCGTCTTTGCTAAAACCTGCAAAATGATCTGGATATGAGCCAGCATCATTCCTGGTTTTTTAAAACTCTGTTTATATTTATAACTCTTTGCTCTCCTTTGCCAGTGTCTATCACATTCTCCTATGCTCAGTACTATATACGGTGATTCTTTGGCCACTGAAACCAGGGAAATTGCTTGGTATGGAAAATGATGAGCTCTGAACAAGAGGGGCAAACCTGGAAAGACCTATTTATGCATCAATACCTACATCCAGCTAGAAACTGGTCCTCAACCTAAAGCCTATGGGTTGCATGCAAGATAATCTAGTGTGGATGTAGGTCACCGGTCATATAAAAAATCAAGGCTGAGTGAAGAGGGAGGGATAAAACAGTTTTGCTCTGTAGCCTCATATCTACTCAGTGTTTTGCCTATAAATCAGAAATTGGGGATCACTGAAGTAAGCTCTCTTGATTATTATTTACTTAACTAGATTGGACCATACCCAAATGACCAGAAGGAAAACACTAAGAGGTCTGTCTTCCCCAGCTGAGAAGCTAATTAAAAACCCTACAATTTGCAGAAAAGCACATGTAATATCGACACGTACGAGATTGATAGGAAAAAACCTCCTCCTTGCTATAAAGCTATAAAGAACAGAAGGGGGATCTCTGGCTAATTAGGTTAATATCAGCTTATGGCTTCATGTAAAAGAATCAATGAAAAATAAAACCAGAAACAAAGTATTTTTCTCAAGAATCACTTTTTTCCCTTTTCCATCTCTTTCTAAAGCTTTCTGTATTCAGTATTTCCCAATGCGGTGTGCTTTGAATTTCCCCTTTAGTAAGTACAGCAATTTGCTAAATTTAAGGTTTTTTCCTTGTTTCAGGGTCCTGTTCAGAACAGTCTGGTAAGTCATACAAATTACTGCCACCAACTTCAAATGCCAAAGTCTGAATACTTCATTCTACCTCCACAGGTAAAAAAAACATACAGCTCCAAATTGATGCTGTGCTTCCATGTTCTGATTTAAACTTTTTAAGTATGAAAAGAGAATTACTTTGAGTAAGTGATTCCCAACTCCCCCACCCCGTTGACTGAACTCTTTTAATAATCATTTCTTTTGGAAGGGCATCCATACAAAAAAGGTAGCTATTGTACTAATGCTACCTTGCCGAAGTGTGTGTACTTAGAGTTTCACACACCTGTGCTTGAGGAATGCAAGGCAGTTAGGTGTTTCCAGTAATAGACTTGGGTTTATTGAGCAAGATTCTTAAGATTTCACCATTGCTGCTAGGAAGAAGTATCCTTAAAAAAACATAGTGTGATCAGATGGACAGCCAGAATCCTCTTGCTAGCAAGTAAAATTCTAAGCTGCTACACAAAACATTTCATTAGCTGCTCTCATTCTAGAGAACTGCACTGATTTTAGCCATTTAGCATCTTCCAGTTACGTGTAATCAGGGTTACAGCCATGTCAGCTAGAATTAGTTGTCATCAGGGACAATATTTTTAGGCAGTAGTTCCCCTGCAATTCACCAGTCAAGGGAGATGAGGAACAAAGGGTGACATGAAATCACAAGTATATGACTGACACCTGTGTCTGTGTGTCTTTACCTTGAGCTCATCTGCATCATAGAAGTCTATGCGCACTGCCGGGACCATCCACGTCTGGAACAGAGTTGCCAGGATCTGTTTGGCAATTGCATCTGCGATGAGGTGGAAGTGGAGTGGGTTCCGCCTGATATGAGGAGGGAGAGGAATGCGTTAGTTCAAAGGTTTCTAATTCCTGTTCTTAAAGGACAACATCATAATTTACAAAGTTTTATCTGTGTCTACCATGTCAAGTTTTGAGTGTGCAGCATGTCTGGTGGAGTCCGGCTCTGTGGCCAAAACACTGAGACACAATTTGAATACACATGACCACAACACAATACTCAATCAGTTTCTGGGTGGCTATGAACACACAGAACCTTTGACTCCAGCAGAATGTGATGATTTGTAACACCTAAGAGTCTTGTCCCATGCACCAGCTCCTTAAAAAAAGGCCAAGTTAATATTACTTTGGGGACTTGAGCTTTGGAAACAATTGTTTCAGTTTCTAGGTGAACCTGGTAATTTATCTTTGTAGTAAGAAGACTGTCCTAGGTTAAATATAACAATTTAAATGAGGTGAAATTTCTGGGACCCTTGAGTTTACATAGAACTTTGCTACAAAGCAATCTTGGGGAACCAACAGCTGTCCCATAGGAGCCCAATATTAGATGTTTCAGGTGAGTGCCTTCTAGCTATTCACTGGCATAGTGAATAGAATGGAAATTGCAAATCTTACCATATCCTTTTTTACTAATGGTTAAAGAAAGGCACTCACCAGAGTGCCTTTTACTTCAAAACACCAGATCTGGGTTCACCTCTGAAATCACCCGACTTAGGCTAACTGAAAAGCTTCAAAACAAGATGGGTGAAGCCAGAATCAGCAAGACTGGCAAGTGTATGGGTTTTTCTATACTAATAGAATATACACAAAGTGTATGGGTTTTTCTATACTAATGTGAACTTAGACATTATAAATACCTTGTTTAATTCCCTTAAACTCCCTCCCTTTTTGGGGGAAAATAAGCAACAAAATTTGATCTTAACTTCTGCGGTAGGAAACCTACCAGTGGAAATTACTCACAAATTGTAGTCCTCCATGTTTAGCCCTAGCTTAGCAACTTTCTCTGTCAGCAAAAAAGGACAGACTTTGAAAGAACTCCTAAGAGGAAAATATGCTTGTTTAGACTTCAGCATGGGATCAAGCTTTCTTTGATCCCTAGAGTGGAATAGTGGATTCTCATTCCTATGGAATTTGTAAAGCTAAATGAGTGTACTTGTTAATTGGTATTTTTCATCTAACAAGAGAAGTATTTAGTTTCAGATGTTGATTAAAGCAGAAGATGAGTGATGCTACTACATTCTTCAGTGTGAATGAAAAGTGAGGAAAACTATGTTAGCTCAGGCCAATATACTTCCATTACATTTTTGGGCTTAACCCAAAAAATGAAGGTTATTTTTTCTCCATTTTCTACATTAATAAAAAATGTGTGCCTTCCTTTTAATGTTTCTCTTCTTGCTTTGATGAGTAATACTGCTTCCCACTGAACAAAGTCCACAGGAAAATGTAAAAATACATATATTTGTTCATTGTATTTTAACAGACCCCTCAGCAGAAAGAGGAGATTGTAGTGAGAAGCAGTGTATGACTGGATTTTGCAGATCCAACCCAGCACTCAGGGCTGCCAGTGAAGCTGCTGTATTGGCTTCAAGGACACTGTGGATCACATTATGTGCTTACAGGAAAAGCAGAAAAGGGCTGGGTAGAAGCCTTATATATGAGATAATCATGATGGCAGAATAAACCCACAGCTGATCTGCCTTAAACAATATCCAAAACACTAAGCCACAACACGCTTTTCAGAAGACAAAGGTCTTTCAATCTCCAGCTTGTCCTGGAGGGAGGAGGGGAGGGGGAAAGGCACAAGCTGCCAGCTGCTGAGTGTCCCATTACCAAGCTAAAGGGATCACAGCAATTACATTTACTTCACCAGCCCAGCAGGAGAGTAGAAGAGGACATCCTGGCTCATGCAGATTCTGCAGTAACCAGGCACCTTGCCAAGAAAAAAATCAGGAAATAGCAGTGATCAGGAGATACATCTCATTAGTAGAGACAAGGCCAAGAGAAACAAAGTACAACACCGGTGGCTTTGGGTACCGGCAGAGCAGTATCTCAAGACAAATAAATGTTCAGTATCAACATACACATCCCACATAGCTCCCTCTGCTAAGGAGGGGCTGAGTCTGGGTTCTGGTAGGACTATTTCCCAGCTGGTGTTCTTCAGTAATTTCCTTCCCTTTTTTATTCTGGGTTATTTATCTTATATTCTAAAGTAGAATAAGAAGAGTAAAAATTCAGTTAAAAAAAAAAGAAAGCTTCTTTCAAATGATCATTTAGTTAAATGGAATTTATATAAAATATTTCAAGATGAAACACACTAGTTGAAAAGAAAAAATCTGACACAAAGACACTCAGATGTTCAGTAGCAGTTTATACTTATCTGAATGACCCAGAGTGCATGAAACTTATATGGGAACAAGTGGGTGACATTTACTTTAGTTCATCTCCTGCTGGGAGAAAGAAAAAAGGATGGCTGTACTCCCACACAGAAATGTCTTTCAAGTTGTTAGCCTCATGGTAAAGATTCAGCTGGAAGGAAAAGTGTGTGTCAGAGGCAAGGCAAAAGATTATCACTTACAAAAATATATCCCCAAAATAGTATAGTGACCTGATGACATCTGCAACTAAATGTGCATCAGCCACAGAAAATTTTACTCCAGACGAGATTTCAGTTCTGTGAAATGTGAGGTTTAGCATGGTGCTGGAAGCCAACAGTGCACAGCCTCAAAGCTGGAAGACCTTCTGAAGGTAACAAGACTAGCATACACACAGATGACATCTTTCACCTCTTCTGCTGTCTGCAATATGTGAAGCCTAAAAGATATGGATTGTTTCAAAGTGTTTAAGAAACAAGTTTAGAAGCTTGAAGATCAACCAACATTCATTATAACAGATACAGAAGAGATTCTGCAAGATGAGAAATCTTTCTCAACAGATGTATGAAATGTATGTCATGATTATCTGACAACATGATTGAATCAGTGGCTATAAGAATTGGGGATGACAATCAGGATACTGTGAAGGATTCCACTGAAAGCTGAATTTCATTAAACTGGGACATTTTGCTCATTTTCCACTGGGCACATCACAAAAAATAAAAAACCACACACATAAAGGCTGGTTGTATCTTATACTGATAGAAATCCCTATAATGTACTGGGGACAGTATATTCAACTATGGAATAACATGGGTCAATATAAGGCAACTGTGATAAACTTCTAACACAAAACTAACAGGTTTTGGAAAATCCTCAGTATTCATGTGAATTAATCTGTTTAGGAATAAATGTTTCTAGTATCCCAGGTTTCAGAACAATGAGCATCAGGTCTTCCAGATTCCTTACTGCTGAAGCAGCTATTGTAACAGCCATAGAATTCCTCACAAGGTCCAGAAATACTTAATCTTATTTACTTCAATGATTTTGAACATTTGAATTTCTACCAACTACAACTTTTCACAGTTTCTGCTACATGGAAAATGCTGATGCATTAATGTCTTAATTTGGTAAAATGTAGTTCCAAAATATGGCTATTTCCCATCAAGTGGAAACTTAAGGTTCTAAGTACTCTGTTCAGAAAACTGCAAATCTCCCTATATTAACTTATTTCCACTTATCTTAAGATCAGAACACTATCTGACGAAGTGAGCCATATGTAAAGAGCACACATTTATTTTCCTAAATTACTTTCCTCAAAAGTGAACAAAGGGAGATTCTAGCCAAGATTTTCAAGCATGGATGCTTAAGTATAGGTTCTTAGACCTAAATATAGGAGTTTGAATGAATGCCCTCATTTTCAAAATTGCTGACGTCCTATAAAGTTAGGAAAATGAAAAGACGTCAATTTTTTAAAAGTCAGGCCATGAATTTAGAAGTCTATTCCAAGGTACCCATTTCTCTACATTTTTTCTTATCATGATGTCTTATTCTTGCATTTCAAAACCTCTTATTCTTCATCAGATTTATGATCTGCTTGCTCAAGCATTTGTGGCCCTTTCTTTTCAAATAGCCACTGCCACAGACTTAAATACAGAAATCTACAATTGAAAAAGGGAGTAGTGAACCAAGGCTCACTATTCCCTTCTGCACTATTCCATAGCTCAATTGTTAGTAATTCAAAAGGCAGCTCCTTGGCTGCTTGGTTACACAGTTCTCTCTCTGCAACAGAGAAATTTTATTTTCTAAGAATACAAAAAGGTCAGTAGCCGAGGGGGTTTATTTCCAAAACCTATACTTTATCAAGGGAAGCACAACAAGGTAGTACCTCTTATATCTGTAACAAATGGTTACAAGAACTTCAAACAGGAATTATAAAAGGCAGTTTGGTAAACTTTTTCTCCTAATGCCCATATGACAATCCCTCTCTCATATGAGAAAAATTTTAATGTGAAAATCTTCAAGATGTTTTTATACCACTTCACACCCAGTATTGATGAAAATGCTCCCCAAAGTATTGGAGAGAGACTAAATACACACTTGCTGCATCACTCATGGATCTTCTTGTTTTGTGTTTACTGACAGAATTTCTTTGAGAAGTACTAAGAGTAAATCATGAGCAGATTTTTTTTAAACATTGCTTTCTCCATTATGCTCTATTGTTAGGACAGCTAGAAAAAACAAAAAGTGTGTATTGTTGATGCATTCATATGAATCAGAGAAACCAGGTCACACTTTATGTGTTTTGCCAGAATAACCTCACACAAAATAGACTGACACATTAGAAAAGTTGGAAACACTGTCAGAGGTTTTGAATTCTCAAATTAACTCCATTAAGGCAAAGTGGTCTCAATGGAATATAGCCATTAGATTATATAAGCTTTAATTACCAGCCAGTGTTGACTTGTGACTTTTACTTGGAAATTACATGTCATCCTTTTAATTTAATTTAGATTTTCATTTGCTTTGTCTTATTCTACTTGTTCTGAGAAAAAAAAAAAAAGAGTTCATTATTCATACAGCATTCTGTAACACAGCTTCATATCCTGTTCTTAAAAATGCTCTGACATACACTTAACTTTAAGGTTACAAGCAGCCTTCTTAAAGCAGAGAGGCAACTTCATATTAAAAAGCATTTGTCTCGTTGTCTGGTTTTGTTTACATTTCTTCCAAAGCCCCCACACTCCTATGCCACTATTGCTGTAGTATAAATGGAGAGTTCAGCCAAAGAAGTAAATGCAGTGTCTCCTGTGAAGAAGAGGGACTGACATAGTGGGGAAAAAAACAGAAGGCCACAAAAAACCAACACAGTATTTGCTGGCACAAAAGAGAAGTTAATTGTTTACAGATTGTCAGGCTGACCTAACTGCCAGAAACATGCATAATCGTGTAAGTTTGTTTTTTATTTTGTTTCCAAATGAAACATAGTGTTAGGCATGTTTTTGAAAAAGGACACATTAAAAACCATTTTAGCTCTTATTCAAGTTAAGACTTAACCGAACTGAGAAATTATCTTTTTAATATGTAACTAGGATTGTGGGCTGTTTCTGTAGCACTCTAAGGTTTGCAATTTTCAGAAATGGAGTAAAACATTGAAAAAATCACCAATGTAACTTGGACCAATAGTTGCAAAAGATTCAAGGAACATTATCAACCACAGAAAACTGCTTCAATTTTGAAAAAGAAATGCAGGTGCTTTTTAGCTTACCACTATAATCACTGTTTCCAAAAGTATTTGCACTTCATTCATTCTGTCTATTTAACCCAATATAATACATTTTTAGTGTTTAGTCTTTTGGTTTGGAACAACTAAAGTGAGGCTGCTCTAAGGACATGGTGATATGCTTGTGTTAAACTCAGATAATTTTTTTTACCCCTGCAGTGGCTTTATAAAATCTGTCATAATTGGGAACTGGATGTGCAAGAAAGGAAAGTAGCAAAGTTGCAGAGTAGGACTGAGTATTCATTCTACCAGCCTCCCTCTGTGCAGTGCTGCCAATGCATATTTATCAGACTGCAAACCCTGCACTATCCCAGCTCCGCTGAGTCTCCTCCTGAGAACAGACTGTCAGTTATGTCAAACTGGGTGTTAAAAGCTGCTGGATTTTGTGGCTGGAGCATACGTTTTTGAAAGACAAAACTGGAATCAAGCTCCTTTATCACTGGGAATGAAACTCATTTCTGAACTATGGTGTTCTTATGTGGAATCAATCACACTACCCCTTTCCTCTCCTTTTCCCACTCTCTGGAATCTGAAGATATATGTGGTTTCTCAAATGGTCTGAACAAGTAGCTTGCCTAAGTCTCATAATATATATGGTATGACTCAAATCTTGGTGTTTTAGGCCTGTGGAGAGCTGAAATGTTCAATATGCAGGATTTGCTGTACATTCCTGCAAGACAGAAGAGACAGCACACTCCATCTATAGAAAATCCTGTAGCTTTTATCCTTAATGACCCAGCACTCCTGCTGTTTTGTGTCTCTATTTAGTACTCTAGCTAAAGTTGGGGGTATAACAAATATGTTAATGCTCCCTGGGATTAGACTGACATGGCCTCCTTTTCTCAGAGCTTTTCCATTAGAGAAGTAGAGATTTCCTATGGAAGTAGGGAATTTAGGTATATAGGTTTGTATCAAAATGCATGCTAAAACATTACTAACCAGTACAGAAATGCCAAATTAATTACTAACCTGTACAGAAATGCCAAAAGAAGGACATGACATCTTCATGAATTCCAGATAGATTCACTGACATCAGTGTCTTACAACAAACACCAACTGAGGTGCAGGAAGACAGGTGAGGACATTAAGCCTGGTTGCTTTAAGGGGTCAGTTGTTTAATCAGTAGATTGAATTCAGGGTGTGTCAAAGGAAAAACAAAATCTCTATGACAATAAATTTGGCAGCAGATTTTTTCTGTTCTTGCAAAACTTTTAAGATTGAATGTGGTGATACTGGAAATAAAGGACCAGTAGCCTAACTTAGAGATTAGGATAACAAACTTCTTGTTAAGCAAACTTCTCCATTGGAAACATACAGACCTTTCAAACAATGGCTTTTTGGACAATGCACCCTCTGGTGCATATTTAGGGTTAGAAGAAGTGACATCTCCATGCCTGTTCTCACTGACGACCCTCAAGCCAGAGGTAAACTTGATGCTGACATCATGAAGCACTAACTATCTGAACCAACCACTTCCAACTCTCCTAATTCAATCCTCCTAAATGCACTATCATGACCTGTCTCCATTCTGCATTCCTATAATTAAATAGATCATAGCAACTAAAAGAAGCCTTTCCAATCATCACCATTTCTAAATTGCATAGTGGTCTCCAAAATAACACTGCTTGCACATGGCAACCAAAGCAAAGAAACTTAGTTCTAAATCAATATTCAGCCTAATTTGTTGTTTCTTTTTGCTTATTCTGCATCCTTCTACAGAACTGCCATTCCAAAGATAAAGATCCAAGAAAGGAGTGCTACTGAAGCATGGCCATGGAGTCATAGCATCAACTGATGCTTAAGAAGCCTGTGTTTTCTAGAAGATAACAAAGAAATGCCTGTCTCTGTCTCTTTTCTGAGAAAATCTTCTCTTTCTAGCAAACAATTTAATACCTAGTGAGAAACCCTAGTTCTAGGCAGGAATGAACTTAGACTTGTCTTTAAGTATGTTCTGAGCAAACAAGGGAGATAGGTTATCTGGAATGTACTCAGGTTTCCTTAGCTATACTGGACTTTATCTTGACCACCTCTGCTGAGTTCAACAAATCCTTTGACATGAGCAGCAGTGCAGGCCAAAACCAGTAGGTTCTTGACAGAGGCAGAATCCATCAGACTTAGAAATACCAATATTAATTACCTTTTTTTTGTTTTAACATTTTTAATTTGTTATTATTTAATAATTTAATTACATGACAGTATTGTTTATAAATTTGCTAATTGCTCAAAGGAGTGCCTTAAGTAAAACAGGGACATTTCCTTTAAAGAGCAGAGAGAGGTTGTTTAAACCTTTGAGCTGTGAGATGTCTATTATTTACAGAACATTTGGAAACAGAGAGATTAAAGCCTTCTCAAAATGGATGCAAGTATTAGGATAGACAAACAGGGAGAAGCTTACCAATAGGATAACTCATGTCACCCCAAAAATATGATTTTCCATTAAATCCCTTAGAAACAACAAAAAAAAAAAAAAAACAAAACCTCCCCATAACCTTGCAATATAAACCCAGTTTACACTGAACAATTCAAACTTCTAATTGGAAATAGATATAGTTTTACCATTTACCAGAATTTTAACGTTTAGTAAAATCCCCCAAAGAGAATGACATGGATATTTACTGTATTTTTGCTTTTGTTATGTTTTTTAGCATTGTTCTTCTGGTCCTACTCCCATCTAACATGAACATGCTACTTCTCAAAAGACTTGCAAAAATTGCGTGTCGATAATGGAAGCTGCTCTCCTATTTTGATTAAACAATACTTATGGAGTCTTTTTTCATACTGGACAAGATGAGCATTTATATTATTTTAGGAAGCTTACCAAAAATGATAAAATGGTGTACTAAAACCATTGTCAGGGAGTGACTACTAAGGCTTCCAGCAGGAGACTGGAGGCAAATATGAGGAGCAAAGTGTGGGACTGGAATGCCCCACTCATGATAGACACAAGAAGATATTACCACATGACATGAACAAAAGTAATTCACTCTTGCACAAAATTGTCTTTCAAAAAAAAGCAGCATATTGAAACTACCTCCCTTAATAATTTGTTTGTACTGTAAGCATATTTTACTAGTCTATTTAACCTGTTTGAATCAAGCAGTCTGATCACTTCCCCAATTTTAATCCACTTTTGGCAACATCATTGGAAAGCATTTCCGAGAGAATTTCTAAACTGGACAATGGATACACACATATGCCCACACAGAGTTTAATGTGAATTCTCTTTTTCTGGAGTTGCTGTCTATTAAGGGAATTGGTTATTTTGTTTTCATTGTACATTTATGCCTCTCAACTTTGGGAGCTAACTGTACTAAAACCAGGTTGCAAAACCTTCAGAGGGACTGTCAGCAGCCATTCCAAAGCCAGAATAAAGCACCTGAATTTAATGAAATAGTGTATATACTGACTGTAACAGCAGGTTTACTTCAAAAACAAATGTCAAAATTGGAATCTGGGACAGCTAAGCAACCAGTGTGAATTCATCATCTACACCTGTGCCATAAACTGATACCAGAAATAGGCTAAATGAATACAACACTGTTATTACCATTATCACTATTTTCCAGCATTCAGGAGTGTGTAGATGCTTTACAGTGAAGATAGATACTATCCCTATTCCCACAATGCAACAGGAGTAGCAGGTGGATCTCTGATCTCTCTTATTCACTGTAGAAAATCTTCACACAGGTGAAATCTATTTGAGATGATCATGAATTAAATGTTTCATTTCTTAAAAAGAGAAAGGAACCAGGGAAGGGAGTCTGACCTTCTTCTGAAGTAACATAGTAAATGTACAAAAAGCTCATGTAGTGATAATCAGATGTACAATATACAGGAAAAGAAAACCTCCTTTACCTGTGAAATAAGACAGACTTGACGAGTGTGACAACATCCCGGCTGGCATTGTACCCTGCACAGACAATGGCAACGTGGATAGTCTGTGGGAGAAAAGGAACAAAAAGAACAAAATTAAAGCCCGCTCCTGTGCTCATCACTTGTTAAGGAGAGCACACACATGACACTGCTGTTGTTCAGTGTTGCAATTGTTAGGGATTTGAGTGGGTGTTTTGCAGCTGTTTGCAACCCACTTGAGGCAGTTTGCTAAAAACATCTTAATTGAGTTATAGCACCATCATCATTCCAAAGTCATTACTACCACTACGTTACATCAGATGTTTGAGTAGAATTGCATTTATTAGCTAAGACATACGTGTGCATGTATGTACACAGACCCTCCCCAAGTAAGCAGCACACAAAATCCTGAGTGTGCAAACATACAGATATTTTTAATCTTCTGAACTAAAGTTTAAAATTGTCTGATAATTAGAAGCAGGTATGATCTCAGAAATTTTGAATTATTTCTGTCTTATGCACAGGCCCTATGGAGAGGGTGAGCAAGCTCTCATGGATGAACATGACTGTGACTATTGGTTTGCCAGGGCTGGATGCATCCCAGTGATGCGATGGGACACAGGCTGTGATGGCAAGAGGCCACCTCCCTGCGTGTGACTACCAGCATGGCCTGTTCTAGCAGCATTAATGTGAAGTTAAACACAACCCCCACAAACACATTCTCTCCACCTCATGACACTGGTAAATTATCACTTATTCTGTGCCTTTTTACCTCCCTTTTAACATGAGGCAGAGGTTTCCTCATCTCTTCAGGAGGAAAGGGAAAATTGAAAAGGCGCTACGAGTCATTATTTAGCAGTAAGTACTAATCTGAAAAATGCTATCACGTTACTCTGCTCTGCTTTTAAAAAGTAGCCATTTCTGCTCCCTAGGGACAAAAAAATTTTAATCCTATCAAGTTTTGACTCCAGGTTCTGTGATCTTCTGTTTCTTAGTGGTCACAGAAATGAAGCAGAGTTCACCATGCTGTCATCACAAAGCTGCCATTGGGGACACAGCTGTGAAACTGCAGGGAAGCCTCATTTGGCTTCCATTTGAAGCTTGGTTAGCTGGTTTCTCACACACATAGCTCTCATTTTCCACAGAATGCCCACTATGCTGAGAACAAATGAGGAATTCTGTCTCCTCACGTAGCCACAGATTCCCAAAGCCTGGCTTGTAACAGAAGCACATTTACACAAGAAGTGCCATGTGTTGGGCACATCTGAAGAGCCCACAGCCCCATCCATTAAGATCCCCTGGAACAAGGCACAATTTGAATCATACAAGTGCCAAGTGGCTGTGCCACAGTGGAACATCCACATGAACATCACAGCTCCCTCCAGCCCTGCTGTGCTTCACAAGCTCAGGCATATTTAAGATCTGATGTTTTAAGAGGACTTGAATTAATAAGACAACTGTCTGTCCAGAGAGGTGTGAGAAAGAATGTACTGTAGTACATTTTGGCAGCCACTCTGTGAGGTATTAGCACTTTAAATTTATGTTAAAGTGAATGGGAGCCGAGCAGGCTCAACACTTGGCAAAAATTGATAGTGTTCTTCTCTTGTGATAAGAGGGGAGAACAGAGACTGCTTATTAAAGACTTTTATTACAGCAGGACTCTGTAATGTACTCATTGGCATGGGTTGCTGTGGGTGCACTGATTCCTGATCCTACATGTACTGCCTCCTCTCTCATTGTCACCTGGTCCCCCTCCCAGGCTTCCGGAAGACCTAAAATCCTTCCCCTCAGTGCCAGTTAAAATCAAATTAACTGAGAACAGTTTCACCCTTGCTTTAAACATTTCACCTGAAGGCACTAGACCAGAAACAAACATTTTAGGGATTTGCACAGAATAGCACTGTCATATACAGTCATCATTGTTTTATACCACCTACACTTGCCAGAAAAGCTCTCCTCAAAGCCACTCTCTCTACCTTACAACTTCCGTCCAAATCAGGGTTTATTCTGTCAAGTTCTTGCCCACATCTGTTCTCCTTTTACTAAATCAGTTTGTTTCAGAATTGAAGGCATGCATTCCTTGCTGTCTTCTAGTAGCTGCTGTTGCCTTGGATGCTGCTTCAGCCAGGACACAGTGAGAGCAGCACTTACTACGCTTCTGAATGCTCTCTTCCAGCACAGAGACACAGGCATCCATGTACCTTCTGCTCAGCCTCTCTGTGGTGTTTGATATTACATATCACTTCTATTCCTGCCTGCAATCAGTTAAACAACAGAGCAATAATCCTCAAAGAGAACAGAAATCAAGACCTTTTCGTTCCAAGTTTTTTCCTGCAGCATGCTTCAAGGCTCAGTCTATTCCTCTCGTTTTCTTGATCAACTTTCCTCTCTCTTGTTGTTTAACTGTTAAACAAAGTCAGTGGAAAAACAGATAAGCCAAATGAAGTTATCAGCCTGAACTGCTTGCAGATGTTTGGATCCCAAGGGGAAAATCATTATTTCCAGTTTTCTCCACTCTTGCTCCAAATGCATGTTTGGATTGAGAACAGCTGGCTGTACCCAGATTCTGGCAAGATATGGCTGGAATAAGCACTTGAAAGAACTTGCACCCTCCTGAGCATACTACTGTAAGCATCACCTCTCAGATTTTGAAAATTGTCACTTCTCCCAAATTCCTTTTATCCATCTGCAGATGGCTGGAAGAGTGTATCCCCCATCCCACCAGAACTGGCCACTGTGATTCACACAACCTCCAGACCCAATGACTGCAGCTAACACCAAGGACTAAAGCCACATGACCAAAGAATGCTCCAACTTCCACTGCAAGTGTCAGCCTGCCTGTTTGGCTCAACAAGTCCCACCAAACTTCTCACACAAGGCTCTGTATGTTACACTTGCCCCTTTACTGTTGGCATTCCATGATAGTTTTAGATAACACTAGTCACACTCTAGCCTGGATATTTCAAAATCGCTGCAGGACCAAACTGAGCATTCAAAGTGTCCATCTTCCTACAATGCTCTCTTCAAAGTGAGTGATGGATGTGTTCACCATTTGCTGCAGCAGTTTGGATTCAGGTCATTCACTGGAGATGCTTTTGGATAATGTAACTCACTGCAGCAACAAATGAAATGATGATACGCCTGACGATACAGAGTCAATGAATTCTTCCTCTGTTTATAAACAGAGCTATGAAGAGGTAATCAAAACACTGTGGAAGTGCATCACAACATTCTCCCTACAGGCTGAGGATCAGGGACACCAACTGAACTATTTTTAATTTTAAATAGTTTAGGAAGCACTCAGGTGTAGGTGCTTCAAGGTACTTAAGGAAGCTAAGCTTCTTTAGGAAAGGGAGTTTAAGTCATACCAAGGTATATGCTAACATAGCTCAAAACTCTTAACTCAGCCACTACACACCAGGAAAAGCCTGTCTCTAAATGCAGTATTTCATGTTCTGGCATAATATTATTGTGAAAAAAATATCCAAAACCCAGTTCTTCTACACGAAGAACTGGGCCCCAGATCCATACTGATGAGGAGTATACAGTGCCTAGATAAGCATGCATAACTATTTCTTCTCCTTGGGCTACTTTTTGGAATGTTGAAATAATGAGTTTAAAAAACCTGTATTAGTCCTTATAGTTAAAAATAATCTTTGGTAAGACATTCCATACCTCAGTAATTTTCCAGTAGGCTTTCCATTGTAGATATTTAATCCTTCATAAATAATTGTTGAATGTGATTAAGAGATATTACAAGTATGTTACAAAATACTTGTGTTTGTTTCCAGAATTGAAAATTTTTCCAGAAAAACTTGTTTGTTTTTTTTTCCCCCAGTGGCAGATAAAATCTGCTTTACATGTGTTACACTGCTGATGTTGGTGAGGATCTGTTCTTGATGGCTGTGGAGCACTACACACTTAACCCTACTGAACAACACTGTTGAGAACAGGAACAATACAAATATGCCTCTAAAAATGCTTCAAATGTTAAGTATCTTGCTAAGCCACTAAATGCTATACTCCTAATTATCAATTTCCTAATATATAATATCTTTCAAAAATATTTATAAATACACAATTCAAGTAAATGCTCAGTTTAGGGAGGCACAAACTGGAAAGATACTGGGATAACACTGTAAGGAAAAGGCATACAATTTTGTTATCTTCCACTGGCATTTATGCTCTCCTTCTGAAGCCTGTTGTTACTTCTGACATCTGTGTAAGGACTATGCTTACTCATATTTCCAAGGTTTGTGTTCAAATGGTCTACTCCTGGGAAGGCATGATGGGCATCTGCTCGCTCAAGGGAGAAGCCCCTTGTCTGGGTGTCTGATCTTTTTCTTGCAGTATAATGCTGGTCCATTTTAAAGTATCAGGAGAGCTCCCCTGTGATGCAAGAATAGAAAGCTGTGGCTGGAATGCAACAAACCCACAGCTATTTGATATAGATCACAATTAACATCACATAGATGATGCTTTATCAGAGATTTAATGTTCATTCATTGTAACTGCACTTTCAAATGTTTTAATCACCATTAAAGACCTTCCCAAATTAGATTGTGAAATGTTACCACCAGTAAATCTCTAAGAACAGACTCAATGAAATGAGCAACCCATTGCTGGCACTCTTAGTCTCCACCAGAGCAAGAGTCTTCTTCCTAAGAACCCTTGTTTCTCACTACCTAATTTGTCAACTCTTGCTGTGATATATTCCAGGGTCAGAAGCTAAAAAAACCCTTTGTTTACACATCTGAAACACAGAAAAGAACCAGAGAATGAAAGGCATCAAGATGCCCCTCACAAAAACACAGGACGAGAATCTACACTAACAGGATAAATGATGAGACCCTTGGCAAATCTGGTAATAGGGAAGTTTCATTTTCACTTCCATTTCTGTAACTGAGTTACTGATTGAATTCCTTAAGAGAAGAGTAAGAAGTTGAGATCAAAATAGCATGCAGTGAAATAGGGGGATGGTAAATAATGTGAGATTTTGTATTTTATACAAGCATTGCCTCCAGCAGAGTGCTAAACCCCACTGAGCAAGCAAACTCATTGGCAAAACACATTACAAACTGTAAGGCCACTTAAACTATCCCTACTTTAAGCTACTGTTTTTGTGTCCTAGATTGGTTGGTACATTGAACAACCAAGAACTGAGATTCAGCTCATCACTCCTTAATATAATAATAAGGGAAAAGTAAGGTTTGCTGATTGATGGCCTGATTAAAAGAAATGCCAAAAATCTCACGCGGAGGAAAATCAGGCCCTCTATCTGGAGGAGGGAAAATGAAAAACAAAAACGTCCTCTTCCCTCCCTTACAATAACATTGTTTCCTTTTTTCTACATTGTTGGACAAAGATATCCAACTGGAAAGCAGCAGTTCATTTTCAAACTGTGCTTGATATTTTCTCATTGAATAGAATTTATATTAAGAGATAGTTAGGATTTCTTTTTCCTCTCACACCGATTTTCTTTCAACTTCTATCTTCCAAGTGGCAGCAAGCAAGATAGAAGGTGATATGGTATTACCCTCTTTGTAGAAATAAATGGAGGAAGTTATTTTTGATAACTTTATCAGCTGAGATTGGCACAAGGCCTTTAAGCGAGACTTTCTGTTTTGGATCTATTCATATTTGGACCTGTCATCATTCAGACATCTCACAACTAAGTATCTGGATGACATCCACAGAAGTACTGTCGTAAAATGGCAAAAACCAAACCAAACCAACCACACCAAAATGGTCTCAGAAGCAGATTGCCTGTTCCTGCAGCCAAGCACACTGCTAGTGCACAGCTCACGCAAAGCACCTGCTCCCGCAGCAACATCCAGACACACTCCTCAAAGTGAGTCAAAAGCACAGGCTGGCTCCACGAACCACGATTTAATTAATCATGAACCCTGAATTGTTTCAATATAGGCACAGAAACAAAGAAATAAGGCTTTTCTAAGCACTCTGGAGTCATTATTATTTAAAATACACAGGGTCAGCTCACCACAGGTCTTTATCTGCAGAGCTGTAGTGAAGTCAGCTAGAAGCAAGGCTTTGATTTTTATATCAGGTTTGGGGACACAAGAACGAAAAAGACAAAAAGCTGTGATGAAATAATAACTCAGAAGATATTCTGATGACAAATGTGTTAAAGGCTTTTTTAAAAAGAATAATAAAAAATTATCTGAAAAGCTGCACGCAGCAGACCTTTAAGATGCTGGTTTTGGAGGAAAAGGTTTCAGAGGAAGGAAACGGGGATCTGCAATGTCCTTAAGGGACCACATCTACCAGGCTTTGCTTCTGGCACGTTCCTTTGGCATATTTACCTCACACTTCTCCACCACGGGCTGCTGGCCGCACTCGGAGCTGTTCCCCGCCACGATGCCAGCGCGCAGGCTCTCGCTGTCGCCCGTGCCCTCCTCCATGGAGTAGGTTTTGGAGTGGTTGGCGCGGTGGTGCGCGGCGCCCCGGGCCTGGGCCAGGCTGAGCTGCTTGCGCAGCGCGCGGTTCTCCTCCTCCACCTCCCGCACGCGCACCTCCAGGCTCTCGCGCTCCCGCTGGCTCGACGCCGTGTACCGAGGGCTGTGCGGCTGCGACTCCAGCGGGGACAGCGACACCGGCTTCCCATCTGCACCACAAGGAAACAGAGCACTTCTGTCAGAACACACCAGCTGCATCTTCCTTTAATATTGGTGTTGTGAGGCAGAGATGCGCTTCACATACAGCCATGTTTTATGCAGACTTGGCACTCCCAAGCCATGCTTAAGTGCACGGTAAACTTGGACAAATGCTGAATTCTACAAGCTACAGGTCCTACTAATTTTCAAATCACACCAAAAGATAAGCATGTGTTTCTTTGTTCTCATAGGGCTGCCTGCCAGTCTCTAGTCTGGGAAGACAGTCAAGAACATTAGGACTTAATTCAAAGGCAATTAATATACAGTTAAATATATTTTAGAAATATATGCAAGATGAAATAATTTTGCTATTCCCACCCCACTTCCTTCACAGTCAAATGACAGAATTTTGGCAACCATTTTGTGCCAAACAGTAGCCCCAGCTGATTCACATGTGTGGAACAGATGGGTTTTATTCAGCGACATAGTATTATGTGCTTGCTGAAAAATAAGAGGTTCAAGGCAGAAATGTTCAACGCACATGTGGGCCAAATTCTGGAAAGTATTCTGGCTTAAAAAGACTCAGTGGAATTTTCAAAAAAATAAAAAGGTTCAATTCAACACCTTCAAGTAAAGTGTCTCAAAAATATTTAATGAAAATCAAATTGAAGCAAAGCAAAAGACAGTGAGAGTTATCCACAGTGTCACAATTAGCAAGAAATTCCTTTGCAGTGATGATATGTGAGTATCTTATACTAAAGTATTTCTCTGATGTAATTTTGTACTTGCATGTATTAAATCACAAAATTATTGAACTGCAAGGTCGAAAAAACCTCTAAGGTCATTGAGTCCAACTGCTAATCCAGCACCATCATATTCACCATTAAACCACATCCATATCCACATCCACATTTTTTGAACACTTCCAGGGATTGTGCTTTTACCATTTCCCTGAACAGCCTATTCCAATGCCTGACCATTAGGTTATTTTTTCCTAATATTCAACAAAATCTTCTGTGGCACAACTTGAAGTCATTTCATCTCATCCTGTCACTTGTTGCCTGTAAGAACAGGACAACCCTCACCTGGCTACACTCTTATTTAAGGCAGTTTTAGAGAGCAATAAGGTCTCTCCTGAGCCTCCATTTCTCCAGGGTAAGCCCCGCCAGCTCCCTCAGTTTCTCCTCATGGGACTTGTGCTCCAGACCCTTCCCCAGCTACACAGCTCTTCTCTGGATATGCTCCAGCACCTCAATACCCAGAAATGAAAGCAGCATTCAAGGTGTGACCTCATCAGTGCCAAGTACAGGGACATGTTTGCTATTTAATGTTTTTTCCAGTGCAGACAGTCCCATTGGTTTTATCAAACAAGTAATAGCCTGAGTGGTGTATAAAATGGAAACCATGCAGTTATTGCTTAGAAATTCTCCCTAAAAAGTATGTTTTTCACCTACCGACTCAAAACTATCTCCCTGCTATAAAGACCTGTTCATTGCTTGTTCTTCTTCATTGTTTCACATTAACATGAATGATGAGCAGTCCTCTAAACTGACTTCATGAAAAAAACTGGTATGGCAATCAAAGCCTCAATTCTAATTCATATTGTTGAGTTATACAGGTATACACACTTCCTGTTATGTATATAAATCATTATCTTGATTTTCATCATCATCTGGATAGAATATCTTGCATTTCTTGCAGGCTATCTTCTAAAAAATATTGTAATTTATTTATTTATCATTAGCAAAGGTTATGGATAAATCTGAGACTGAAAAACGTCTCAAGACAAATTCTGGAGTTTGGCCACTGACATGTTGTAACTTGAATGCTCCAGCAAATAGTTAATTCAAAATTTAATGAGATATTTGATAAGCCTGAAAATAATGGGTGCATCAACAGAGAAATGTCAACATGTCAACATAAAGGACAGAGCCATGCTACAATTAGACATGCAATAGAATACTGGGTTATCTTTCTCCAGCAAGCTTGGAGGACCTGGAACTGAAGTTGTGTTATTTCTCAGCTGCTGATACTCAAGGAAACTAAGATTCATTTGGTTGTGATTCTATTGCATCCCCATTACTGGACAGCAAGAGTGTACTGTGTAGACACTCTGGGATAAAAAGAAAAATGGCACCTTTTCTCACCCACAGAACAACCAACCTGTGTTATCAACAGATACACAATTACACTGCAAATCTAGCCAAGGACTTCACTGGCTATCTTAACTCCTCACTTGGTGAATATCCAGCCAACATAGATATTAACTCATTGCTTCCTGCCTTTGTCACTGAATTCTCCTAGCTTCAGATAATTACCAGAAAAGGCAGCAAGATATGGAAGTGAATCTCAGAACAATATTCATCAACATTTCAAAATATGGAAAAAAATTAAACATATCTTTACTTATTCTACAGACATAAATCAATAGATCATAAATGCTGCTTTTCCAAAATTAAAACTTTTAAAATTTTTCTTATCTTTTAGAAAAGGATACCATTTTGTACATCTGAACAATTGCAGATATACTGATCAGAAAAGTTCAAGTGTTTCTACACAGTATTTAGTAGAAACAGCATAGTCTGAGAAAGGGACTGAAAGAAAATATCATCTCGCTGCCTCAGACTGAAGTTGCAGCAGCTATGAGAGCAGCCCAGTCTTTATGCAGCCTTGGCTTTAAGTGCCACTAACTCCACTACTGTTCTCTCAGTAGCAAATATTTCTGCTGGTATGTAAAAGGAGTAAGGAAATCCTCTCAGGAATTAGCTAGCTAGGCTCTTCATCTGAAATGTACAACTAGTTGAAATGCACTGATTTACTACAGAAATTATCTATGTTTTATTACAAGTTGCCAAGTCCAAGATATTTTCTGAAATTATCTCTTCTGAGTTTGTACAGCTGGACAAGTCATGTTTTGTTACTAATACTGCTCACTATTCTCAGGTGTATCATGTACTAGCTTTATTTTCACATCCCAGCTCTCTCTGCTGCAAATGATAACATGACAATTCCAGGACCCATGTGAAATAAAATTATAAACCAAAAGTGAACAGAGTTTGATCCTAATACTCAGAAATAAAGTAATATTTTTAATAAATTCAGAGATTGCACAATTCATAATTTTTGCACATCTGAGGCAGGCAAGGCTGGTGGCAAGATAGTATTTGATTTAGTTCTGTGTGTTTCATCTCATCTCTGAAGAAGGAGTAAGTGGATTAATGTTAGGGACCACTGACGTTTGATTGTGTGTGTTGCTTGGCAGAAGAGTTAAACTGATTGCACTGCACTTGAATTTTATAGTTTTTAGTAACTGGCAGAATGCTCTGAGCTGGTGTCTAGGCACTTTTTATCTAATCTAAATCAAGATAAAATAACACATAACGAGGTCTGTGTGACTTTGGGACTGAAGATGTCCCAGGGAGCACAACAAGGAACATTACTGTGCTCTGAAGCAAGTAGTGTACTTTTGAATGGTGTGATAAATAATAATATAGCTATTATTTTTATTATTCATTTGGGGTTATTGCTCTATTTTTGAACTTTGGCAGTTTCAGTTTTCAACTTTAGTTTTTTTTTTTTCTGTGTCAAGCCTTTTACTTCAGACTTGTGCTAATGCAACAGTACGTACAAAGACCTGCAAAATTCCACTGTCCACAAAACAAAACACAAACACAAAGCTGAATAACTATTTCATGGTCGACAGCAGTCAATGACTTATTCTCACACAATTCAGAAAACTTGACAATATGTAAGTTATGAATTCTATGGATTATTGAATCTTTCTGCATACAGGAAATCACTTGAATTTAAAGTAACACATTTCATTTAATACTAACTTAAGCAGAATGCCTAGGACACTGGACAAAATAAAGCAATCAGAAAGCAATCCAGCAAAATTAATTTGAAAGGAGAAGGACTGAACCGGTGGCATTTTCTTTCTTACATACAGAACTTAAAGGATAGGCATTAAACCCAAGTTCTTTGTTTTGCAGTTACCAGACTTGGGAGAGGTGATAGTTCTGAAAAGGACCCAGTGGCATTGGAAAGTTGCCAAGGAAAGAGGCATAGAGAAAAAAGAACATTTATCCAAGGGTTACTTGGGTAATAGAGAAAGAAGCAGAGTGTAGGAAAGTAAAATTTTCTCTGATTCAGAGAAGAAAAATGCAGAAGCAGGCATCCCAAGTTTTCCAGACAACCCAGATCTGAACTAAAATGCTTACAATTGTGTTAGGAACTGAGGCCCATAAAATTATGGAGCATGTTTTGGGAGGGTTTTTACAAACTTTTTACATTTCATTTGTTAGAAGGCACAAACTACGTGTGTTTTGGCATCTTGACAAGGTCTAGAGGTTTCTATATGTTTCAGCCATTACTCATCCCCTGCCTAGTAGCATGCAATGCCTTTAAAACAAACTAATGGCAGTGAACTCTAGGCTGCTCCTTAGGTAAGAGGAAGTTATGCTGCCCAGAGACAGTGTTTCAGTCTGACTACAGATACAAGATATGCTTCCATTTCACATTTGTCAACATTTGAAAATTCACATTATTTCTGCCCACTTTGAAGACTAGCAGCATAAGAATTTTAACCAAAAGCCAATATTTTGCAGAAAGAAATGGGATAGCAGGTAACCATGCTCATTACTCTCCTCCTGATAAGGGCTCAAAATCATTTCAAGTTCATTGCACAATTATTTTTTCCCACATCAAGACCATTGTGGAGAACTCCATGGACTCTAAGGTAAAAAAAAAAACATAAGACTGCAGTCAGGTTACAGAGACATAAAAGCCAGGTGTAAGCAGATAAACTATCCTTTCTATTCTGGAGTTCTAGCTCAGCTTTAATCACCCAACATCTTAGTACTCCATGCACTGCTGCTCAGCTGGCTGCTCTGATAGGTCCTGGCTATCTGGGCAGCTATGAATGAAGTTATTTCTGCTGACACTTTGGTACTTTAGATATGTGCCTCCATGAGTAGGTGCTAAGGCATCCCAAAGTACCTATTCTCACACC